ATTTCCAGGATAGCAATTCCACAACTAAGAATTTTATGGTATTTTTTTTTTTTTTTGAGGTTGAAGTTGCCAAAATACATGACCTCATTTCATAAAATTTGAGACGTCAAGGTATCTGGCTTTTTCAGTGTTCAAACACTTAGCTCAAGCCTCATTGAATTACTGTTCATCTCCTTTCCAATAAATCTCACTTTTTAGAAAAGAGTTTGTAAGCAGGGAAACGTCTCAAATCCTTGACAACCCTGCCAAAATCAGCTTAGGATGAAGCCTGGTTTGACGATAGATCATATATCACAAGTTTATCTTCTGCAACAGAAGCTTTAAGTTTGAACAAATGTAGTCTCTCTTCAAACTCACTCTATTCTTACAGAAGGTTGTTGATATGCAATTTTACTAAACTCTGAGCTCCAAGCATTTCATTATACATAGCTGCATTTTATGTGTATGGTGGGAAATTTAGGAAAATTCCTGAATGTTAAATCATTAGTTTCCATGACTTCATCCTTTGTGTCTTTGGTCAAGATGTGTTGTAGCACATAGGGCTTTGCAACCCATTGGTTAGGTGTGGTAGTATTCCAGCATTTATTCAAATAGTATTTATGTAACTTCAAAATATTCTCAATTTACTTCAAATTGTATATTAAGGGCAGTTTTAAGCATATTCCACAGTAAACAATGTAATGAACCCTCACCTGCCAACAAACCTCAAGAATTATCAGCTCATGGCCAATTCTGCTTTACTCACCTTCCTGCTCCCCTCAACACTGGACTCAGCTGAAGTAATTCTCAGGCGCTCATTGAAATATTGGCAAGTATTTTAGCATAGTTCTCTAAGATTTGAGGACTTAGAAAACACATCCACAGTACCTTTGACTCCATAATTTCTATCAACAATAATTCCTTTACTTCATCAAATATCTAGATTTTTACCATACATTGGTTCACTCGTAGATTTTGTACTTCAACAATTAAGGATCTACACAAGGTCCGTATATTTAACTGACTTCTTGATCTCTTAGAGTCTTTGAATCTATAGGCTACCCACCTTCTTCTAAGTTTTTACCCTTGTGTTTGCAGAGATAGGCCATTTGTCCTGAATGGTTTCCCGTGCGCTGGGATTTGCAGAGAGCATCCTCATGGTTTCTTGCATCGTGTTCCTCTGTCCTTAGTCCCTATTACGTAGTAGTTAGCTCAAGAAACTTCATTATATTCAGGTTTTCTCTCTTCCTTCCCTCCCTCTCCACCCTTCTTTCTATCTTGGCAAGGACACTTCACAAGCGTCCTGTGAATGTCTCTGTTAGCCACGTTAGCAGTCACTGATACTCCCGCCTGCACTCTGTCCTTATCAAGAGCGGCAGGATGGAGCAGCCCTAAGTCTGCCCTCCATTCTTCAGTTATTTGTTGAGGGACTGCCCCAAGTGACCCATGTGGTGGCTTAGGGAAGACAGGCAACTTCACACACTGAGGCCTTCCATCTAAGCGTGTGAATTGTGGGAGCCTCTGCACAGTCCCTCACTGAGGCTATCTACTTTGTTTTGACCAAGTCAGTCTGTCTTCACTCCCGTCATGCCTCTGATGTGCTATTTTTAAACTCTAGAGGAGTTACTGGTTTTGCACGCTCAGGCCACATCCAGCTTCCCTCTCAAGTCCCCTCGTTATCCGCCGTGATGTCTCATTCACTCTTCTCGCTTTTCCAAATACACCATTGCATCTGGAGTGAGACATATGTTTACCGCTCTCTCCCATTTCCTGGTGCCTCAGATCGCTCTCTCCTTTGTGGCATCATTGGCGCTGGGATGTGTAAGGGATATCCCCATCTCGTTCGCTATCTTTCTGCTTCCTGAGCACTACAAACGTGGAATTCACCGCCTGCTTGATGCCTGAGGGTCGGCTGGAGAGCTTCTCCCTGGACACGTTAGGAGATATTTTGACAGAGCTAGAGATAAACTCTACGTGGTGAAGGAAACAGGGTTCGTACAATGCAGGTACTACGTAACAGAGAGTGAGCTGGTAATGATGTAGGTATTTAAATAATGCGGGTGGTAGAGTCACAGCCTTCCAATTTGGACTTTGGGACTCCAATGACTTAGGATGACCCCCTCCCCCCATTGAACCATTCAACTATATATAATTTCGTAAAACTATATATATATATATATATATATATATATATATATGTAGTTATATATTTTACTCTAAATATGGTCTTTATTATAATATGTAAAATAGCTGTAAATAGAAACAAATCATTAAAAGTCAATGAAAACAGGATTAGCATTTCTCTTAGCTGAAATGAATTCTCCTCTAAAGAACCACAGAATCCCATCTAATCTTTTTAGAGCTACCTGGGGACACTGAGGTTGGAGAAGCTGAGATTTTGAAGTCCTTCTTCTTATCTCTTCCCACTGTCCCTGTTCTAAACATTTTGTCAGGCTTCCTATACAGGAACAGTTGAAATACATGCATTTATTCCTGAGCAAGGCAATCACTAGGAGATTCACTATGAAGATGTTTTCTTATGAACTCATTCTTGAGCTCTCAACTGAAACTGTACTTGTTAAGCTTCTATTGTATACAAAATGCTATACCAGACACAGCTCAACACTGCAGGAGTTACCATTCCAGCAAAGAGCTGACAGATGGGTCAAAAAGCTCAAAACAGAATAAAATAAATACTTATGAAGGCACGAATATTCTCCTGGGTTTGATTCAGAACACAGGATCGATTCGTTAAACATTTTGCCGAAAGTTTGCAGTGGAATATAAAATGAAGATGTTCACATCCTATGAGCAAGTCAAGAATCTAGTATGCCACATTCAAACCAAACCTCTGTGTAAGTTCACACGCAAATCTAGAAATTTGCTAAACCCACTGTAAGTTCAGATTTGGACTCATCATAGAGAAAATAATTTCATTCTTCTAAATGGCTCCTAGTTACCATTGTATACAGCAGCCAAACCAACCTAAGAAAAAGGTACAGGTTTTTTTTTACAATATGTTTTTTTTCATCACTTAAACCTAAGAATTGATCTTGAGATTTTACTCGGAAGCATCTAAAACTACATTTTGGTATTTAATAGAGACTCATTCTTTAGATCTGAAAACATGCCATTCCTTGTTCTGTGAGATTCTCAGCCTGGGAAAGTATATTTTATTATGTATATATACTATATATTATATATAATACATATTATATATTACTATATACATTATGTATGTGTATTACATACTATATTATGTATAGTATATATTATTTGTGAGAGTATATAAATATATATTCTAAAATACATAATTCAAATATTTAGCCAAAAGAAGGAAGGCTATAGGCAATTATAGTAAAAGAAGTAGGTTTTAATAAGGAAATAACACATAGGTTTTGTCCATCCCAATCATCAGCTCAGGCTGGACAGATCAGGGAGTGGGGTGTGGAGCAGGTGTTGGGAGCCTGGCTTTGGAGAGGATGAGACAGGGCCCCACCGCACCGGTGGTTTCTACACGTCTCTTGTCAGGGGATGGACAAACCATGGAGTCTCATTAGGGACAGGAGAGCCTGTATGTTTCTATGCAAACATGTCAGAGATCAATACTGCTGGCCAGACGACCTTCAAGTTCTTGTGGGAGAGCTGCATCTCGGTCAAGGCCGGCAGACCCACGTCTCTTGGTACCATTTCACCAGTCGGTCCTCTAACCACCCTCTGCCTCTGTTCCCCTCCAGTTTCCTTAGAGTAGGTGATGAATAAATAAAGCCACAGTCCTCCTGCTCCCACACACCCACGGATACAGAAATCTGAAAGGAGCAGAACTCTGTGGTCCTCCTCGTCTGATTTCATAGCAGACTTTTCAAAAGTTTTGTAAAGAACATGATTCATGATGACTCACCCTGGATTAGGTGAGTCAACATGATTTAGGATTTACTCACAAGATGCTGCACCACTTTTAAGTGAAAAAAAAAAAAAGGTGAATTTTAGAAGGTTTTCGAGTGTCCTCATTTATAACAGCAGCAGTGGTTCACCACTATTTCTCACATGTGGATGGGAGCTAAATGACACCGGAACCCTTAGGACAGACAGCTTGTTAAATCCCACAGCACTGCAGCCCTCTCAGGATCCCAACTTTATAAAGACTAGGAAGCCCAGGATCATTAGGGATGTTCGCTCTGGACCGAGACAGCCCTGCTCGTGAAAGTCACAGGACTGAGGTTTCAAACTCCCATCTGCCGTCATTCACCACCACGCTATCTCCCTTAAAAAACCAAAGCCGAACAAGTGATATTATAAAGAGTGCTCCCTAACCAGGGCACAGTTGGGGCTGTTCCCATGCTGTAACACAGCCTGGTTTTCTCTCCCCCCACCCCACCTCTGCACAGGCTCGCTTCTCCTTCTCTGCCGGCTGGGGCAAGTTCTATTTCTACTCTCTTCTTCCACACTTAATTTTTAGATATACTTACTTCGATTAAATGATTCATACATTACTATGGAGATCCTTAAAAAAAGAACTAGCGTTTTTCAGAGTGCCCTAAACTGTAAATGGATTAAAAATAATCAGTGCCTCTTGAATCTATTTTTACGAGTTTCTGATAATCGCATGTACAGATGTCACATAGAGACGATCCCACAGATAACAGTCTTTAGCATAATGCAGTGTTTCCATTCTGATTTTTGGCCAATGTTCTAAGACCTTTGCCCTGACTGCACAGTGATGCCTTCTGTCTCTCTGACCTCGTTGAAGTAGCATCCGCTATATTTTAAAACAAGTGCTTCTGTTTTTTTTAAATGATTATGCCCATTGTTTACAGATGTCATAATAAGGATGAATATATCCATGAACCAGGGATACATATTTTAAAACAGGATAGCAAAATACTTAATTTAATTCTGCATTTGCAAGTAATTATGCAAATAGTGTTTATTGAATTCAAGAGTTGACTTATTAGTTGGAAAAAAAAACACATTTAAGTTTATAATAAAGTTTCAAAAAAAAAAAAAACCCAACCACTCACTTGTTCAAATTCATTCTTTTGAAATTCCTCAAAACCGAAGATGTCCAGTATTCCAATATCCAAAGTCTGTGGGCTGAAAGGAAGCAAAAAATCCGTGAGTAAGTGTACTTCAACCTGCAAAATTATGCTACGACCTTCCTAAGGAAATTCTTGCAAACACAGGAGAAAGAAGGACACAGTACTTGGCTGTCAACTTGTAAGCAACGGGAGTAACTCGTGATACTCCTGCTTTCCATGTAAACGATCTCTCCTGCCCTGTGCTGCCGTCTTGGGAGGTCTGGCCGGACGAGGACCCTCAGGGCAAGTGAGGAAAGGGGGTGGAAAACCAGCCTAGATTCTGCAGGGAATGGGGGCAGCACGCACGGGAGAGGGCATGAGGGGGCTTCTTACAAAGAAAGCCCCAGATGATTCTGGAATGCCGGTCCCCTGGAAGGCACACACCCAGCCCTCTCACATGGTGGCTCTAGAGCCCCAGCAGGACCTGACAGCTGTCCTGATTTTCTGCAGGTGGGGGTGACGGCCACTGTCACTGCGGACTGCTACCGTACCGCCCGCCTGGGTGACACAGACACTTCCATGGTTTGCTCCCCACTCGTTTGGTCCGAACTGCGCAACTGACAACAAACTCTCTCTTTTTGTACCTGTATCGGGCATTCCCTCGCAGTGCAAAACCGTAATATTTTAGGGCCTGTACTATGTCACTTAAATAACCAGTTTCTTTTTAAAAAAAGGTAGCGATTCTATGATATCCTGTCTCTAAGATTACTTCTTGTAGTTGGTACACATACGAGCTTCCTTAGCAGGAAGGAGAGCATTTTAGAAGTCCTTCTTATACAATTCACACGGCAAGGAATACAAAGCAGCGGAGGCATCGAGGTAATTGATTTAATTTTCTCGACAAAAAAATAGTGAGTTTTGCCCCTCCCCCTGTGTGCCCACATGAACCCGACACGGATCCCAGAGATAAAATGTTGGCACAAGAAACTATTAAAATGTACAAGAAAACGAATGTGGTCATTTTCTCCTGCTTTCAGGTCTGAAAAAAATCAAAAGAAAATGTTGCAAAGCCTGATGATACAACACCAATTCTTTGCAGGACTAAGTTGTATAAATAAAACTAAACACTATTAGAGGTGAATATTATTTAAAATGTGTTTTCACATTCATTTTCATAGATTTTTTTTCCCAATCTATTGGCCCACCTGTGCCTTCTTCCTCCGTGGTGACCTCACAAGGTGCCCAAGGTGGTGCAGTCACTCAGTGGTGACAGGGCTGAGGTGTTTAGTGTGTGTGTGTGTGTGTGTGTGCGCGCGCGCACGTGTGCACGTGTTTTCCACGTAGTGAGCTGCACTGTTTCCCTTGTAGGGGCTTGGTGACAAAGCTTGTCAGGTTTTGGACCTGCACAGTCTCAGGGTAGGAATCCTGGTTCAGACAATGTTTAGGTGGACAACTTTGGGCAAGTTACTTTAATTTTCTGTGCTGCAGTTTCCTCATCTATAAAGCGAGACAGCAAGTGATATCCGTCCCCCTGGCTGGCTGCTGCGTTAGAAGAGATGCACACACAGGGCTGGGACAATCGCTGGTACACAGTTGCTTCTCTTTCTCCTAAAGATTTTTATTTAATTACTTATTTCAGAGAAGGGCGGGTAGGGGGGGAGAGACTCTCCAGCGCACTCACACTGAACACGGAGCCCGACGGGGGGCTTGAGCCCACGACCCTGAGATCCGGAGCTGAGCCGCAAGGAAGAGTCAGACACTCGAACAACGGAGCCCCCAGGCACCCCTGCAAGTTGCTTAGGCAGATTATAAATGCCAACCTGGTTACAGTTACTAAAGAAATAAAATTTTAAAAACGAGGATGAGAAAGATATTCCTATGCCCTTTCGTTGGGAGTTTAAACTGGAAGAGTCTGGGCGTGCCTGGCTGGCTCAGTCAGTAACGCATGTGACTCTTCATCTCAGGTCATGAGTTCGAGCCCCATGCTGGGAGGTGGGTGGAGTTGAACTAACTAACTAAATAAGTAATAAAATTGGAGTCTTCTTAAAAAATAATTTGGTTATGTAGCATAAAGCTTTGAAAAGTTCGTATCATTGGAACAAGTATTTCCATATCCAGGAATCTATACTAAACGATGATGAGAAATGCCATTAAAGACTTACAAAGAAGGATGTTCAACCTTATCTTAAGGATGAACAACAGAAAGAAACAGCCGATGCCCCAAACCAAAGACATGGTTAATTAAATCGCATGCATCCTGTAATGGGTTAGTTTAGTGAATCAAGTTAATAGAATGCAACACGTAAGTTCTATATAAAGAATAACCCCAATTATATATTCAGAAGACTTCAAAAGGAGTATAGTCAGCCCAAGAGAAGGAAATAGAAATGCTTTTGCTTACTTCTTTTTACTGGTCTGCTTTTTCTAAGGTTTCTGTATTTTTATTACCAGTAAGTATTTAACTGATGTTGATAAAACAACTATGAAGGCATGGGAAATGTTCTTGAGCAACCAAGGCTAAAAAACAAAGCTGGAAACAACATTTATGCCATTTGTATACTTATGGTTACATAGTATAATTGCACCCATGTTAAAAAATAAATTCATAGCACAGAAAAAGTATAGCACATGTTGGCAGGAGAGGTCTTGGATGTTAGATCTAGAGGTTATTTCTTAATTTTAAAATGTTCTATCCTGGGTATTACTCTTTACTATTAACATTTATTTAAAAATATATATACAAGGGAACACCTTCTGGGCATTTTCTGAGTTGGTGGGAAAAGGGACAACAATGACCTCAGGCCAAAGAGAGGACAGCAAGGAGGGCAGAGAAGGGCCTCTGGTTTTCCAGGAGCTGGCAGAGCAGCAGGACCGTAGGGCTGGGGGCAGAGAGCAGGGCTGTGGCAGGAGGGCCACATGGTGATGGCGCGTATGGATGTCTCCTGTCAACTTCTACCGAACCTCCCACTCTGACCTTGACTCCTTGCCTGATCCCCCCTGGCCTGGGCAACACTGGTCCCATATGTTCGGCACATCACGTGGCAGGAGTTAGAAAAAAGGCCAAGAGCAAAGGGGGACACAATGTCACACTACCCGGTCCTTCCCCTTCTCATGAGGATGGTGACTTTCTGAGCCACAAGTGGACGAAGGATGCTGGGTCCCCCAGGCCTGTCTGGGCGAGCAGCACGTGTCAAGATTCTGGTTCAGACTGGAGCAAGTTGATGATTAATGGGCAATTCAGGAGAGCATAAATGGTGGAGCGGTCACTCCTTTTTAGTGATTTTCCCCCATATTTCCCAGACGCTGGATTCCAAACTACACATGGTTACAGAATAAAAACATTATTAAAGAAGAAGGGGGGGAAGAAAGGAAAAAACAATGTCGGGGAAAAACAAACGCGTTGTAAGAATTGATTTTGCAACTATCAGCAGACAGTTTTTTTTTTAATAATTTTTTTCAACAATCTTTCATCATCTAGGATCGAATGAAGCTCGTGTCTGTTATTACGACATCCGGGTTGTCACGGACGGCCACACGGACGCGTGGCCCGCAGAATGCCCGCTCTGTGTATCACTCAGCGTTGCTGTCATCTCTCGGTGAGAGCTTGACTTGCGTTACACGGCGTTTAACCCGACATCCAATTTCTAGCCAGGAGGAGCAGACAGAGGTCATCAGATCCACTGGGAATCAATCCCACAGGCAAAATTAACATATTAATGAGATGGTCTGTTCATATTCTGCCTTAGAATTCCACCGAGGGCGTTCCTGATGGTTCACAAAACTGGCTCACTTGCATTTACTTATTAGTAGAATGCAACACATTATATCAGACAAAACATTAAATGCCATGGCAATTGTCTGGTTTTGTTTTTGCCCTCAATGTGTGTTAGAATGAGAAGGGAGGAAGGTCCCAGGGAAAGAGAATGTCTAGCTTGAAACACGGATGTGCTAATTTTATGGGGGCAGAGAAGTCCACGGGGATGTGCGTTTCAGCTTCTGTCCTCCCTCATCCCTAGGCAGGGAGATGAACTAGAGAGCTGCCTAAATATTCAGTCAGTTTAGGAAAGAGTCGAATCCTGCCGGGCACCCCAGGCTTAGACTGAGCCAGACATAAATCAGCCTCTTTGGCTGACGGTGGACCCGCCTGAGCCCAGGTGGGGCAAGACTGGAAGCAGAGCGCACTCGAGCGATCCCGCCGTCCAGACACCCTGCCCTCGGGCTGAGATGCGCTGTCTCGGAGGGAGCTGGTGCGAAGTCCCCGGAGATGTTAGCCCTGGGATGGCCTCCACTAAGTCCAGCACCAACATGCTGAAGAATTGACTGAACATAATCGGCAAGGTGCTGCATCATAAGGGCTGAGTCCGCCAGCGCGTAGCTAATCTGAATCTTGCAGAGTTTTCTCGAGTCTGAGAGGACGCAGAGGGGGGACTCCAGGATGCATGGTTTCCAGAGTTTGTCCCTTTTGGTCTTTGACCGAAGAAAAGTACTCAAGGCTTATTATTTCTTGCAAACATGTCAGAAATTAGGGAAAGAGTTTGCAGTTGCTGACAAGCTGAACTAGGTAACATCACCCCACCCATCACCCATCCGGGGACGTTATCAAAGCAACTGTCGGCCTCCTCTCACCTAGTGATGCCACACACACCACACACCGTGTCTCCGAAATGCAGCCCTTCTTGGGGCTCCTTCCCACTGGAAACAGAAGCTGGGAAGTAAGAATCCGAGACCCTTGAGGTGAAAATTGCAGTTAATTAGACTGGATACACAACAAAGTCTTGGGGTGAGGGGAAAGCTCGGGGCTGCCATCTTATGGAGAACTGTGTGCTGAGCACCATTAGAACATCTGACATGTCTTATTTCACGCAGCCTTAACAACACCCTATGAGGTACGCGCAGTGATCCGCTCCATTTTACGGAGGGGAACACTGAGCCAGAACAGTGAAGGTTTAAGTCGCCCAAAGGCGCAGAACGGCATTAGATGGACCCAGAACTGGAAGGCAGGCTAACATCAGCCCCGTGCCAGCAAGCCCCGTGGATCACCACCTAAACCTCCAGTGAGTGGCTGGTCCTCTAAGC